CTGTGGTCGAGACGTGGAGAGACGCGAAATCGATATATAAATTACGGAAGCGCCTTAGTGTGCATCCAGTCGACAGCTTTTTGGATGCATAGCCGAGCGGCTAAGGCGGTCGGCTTCCGTACTGTTACAATGGTATCAGAGGTCGAGACCTCCACGACGGAGGTCGCGGGTTCGAATCCCGTTCGAAGCATTTCGGCGCCTTCTTGGTCGCAAGTCTGAATCGGGGCAACTCGGGTCGCACCGGCGACTCCCGGGCCTGGCCTAGGTTACGCGGACCTAGGGGGGGGTTGTTACGCTCGAGGACGAGCTTGGTCCAAGGGGGGAGGAATGTAACGGCGGGTTAGCGGTGAAACGCGTGAACCCGTATACGGTCCAAAGCGGAACGAAAATCGACGCGATAACCCGGCCGCGACGCGCGGACGGCCGACGCGAAATCGATATATAAATTACGGAAGCGCCTTAGTGTGCATCCAGTCGACAGCTTTTTGGATGCATAGCCGAGCGGCTAAGGCGGTCGGCTTCCGTACCGTTACACTCCAAGCTTGCGAGGCGCACGGTTCAGCGCGGCCCCCGAAGCAAGAGTTCAAGTATAGCGTGCACGAGGTGCTGGAGGGGTTCTACTTGAGGGGGCTGGAAGCCAGGAGGGCATTTGGGAAGGCTTTTGGGTGCTTCTTGGAGAATCCCCCGGACGACCTGAAGCCGAGTGTTGAGCTCTTGCGGAAGGACGGCGGATCCGACTACGTGTGGGACGGGTCCGTCTACGGGCGTCACCGGTGCTTCCGAATGCTCAGGTCCTCCAAGTTTGGGGACCGTCTTCGCTCCCTCATCCCCTCCGAGGGCAGCTCTGAGGCGATCGCTGACCACCTTGTTTGTCTTTACACGGAAGCGGAGCTGGCTGGTTCCACCGAGATCAGCGCCGACCTTCTCAGAGAGTGGGCGTCCGCGCGGCGCGACCCTCTTGCCCCGGCCCGCGTGGGGGCCTTCCGGCAGAGCGCGCTCGCCCTCGACGAGGCGAGCACCTCGGAGGGGCCCGGCGAGGACCTGAGCGCGCAAGAGCGCGCCATCCTCCTCGCCCGCTACCAGGAGGACCACGCAGGGGCCGAGACCGGGTGGTGCAGGAGCGGCCGGGGCTTTTCTTCGTCCACTTTCGCGCGCCCCAGCCCACGTGTTGCATTGCGGGCAGGCGCCACACGTCCCCAGGCAACCAGAACCCGTACGTGATCTACAAGCGAGACGAGCCGCGCATCGCCCGCTACCAGTGCTTTGCAAACAGTTGCAGGTAAGGCGCCCCAGTAGTGAGCTTGAAATCTGGAAAGCGCGCGGCATGGCTTGGCCGTCAATCTGCACATGTCGTTCTTTACACCCAATTCTATAAGGTGGTGCAGATTATCAAGCTCCCTTAAGCGGGTTGCCCGGGTTGCTTCCTTGAGTACGATTCTTTCAAAAACTATTTGAGAAAAAGGGGCCTGCGCTGCGACTTTCACACATGCCAAACCTTAGATGCAGATTGTCGAGCTCCTTACGCAGGGTCCGGTTCTAGCAACGGGTTTGGTTTCAGAGTGGGGTTGGTCCGAGCTCTTCAAAAAAAACATCCGGCAGTATGCATGCATGTCGTTTCTACAGCAACATTGAAAGAGAATAGAATGACGAATTCTTTGAGTAGGGCTGGTCTCAAACGTTCGATTTTTGATTTGTGACCATTTCGTGCAGTCAGGCTGGCGCGTGCTAGGCTTGTTGTCGTGGGACCAATCCTGGGCATGAAGCCTGGCGCGCGCCAGGTCAGTTAGTGCACTGCCACGCGCCCTGTTGGTTTGTGAGCCTGGCGCGCGCCAGGTATATTAGTCAGTCGGTCTGGTGCCCGTCTGGTTAGTTAGTCAGCTTGGCGCATATGCACCAGACTTCGTGGATGGGCACAAAGCTTTGACACCAAACTTGGCGCGTCTCAGGTTGGTTAGTGAGCCTGGCGCGCGCCAGGTTGATTAGTTTGTCAGCATGGCTTGTAACAAGCTTAATGCCCAGAACACCAAGTTTGGCATATGCCATCTGAATCAACATGTGAGCCTGGCGCGCGTCAGGTAGCAAGCCTGGCGCGCGTCGGATCTGTTAATGGAGGCTAGCGCTCTCCAGACTTGATGCTTTGGACACCAAGCTTGGCGCACGCCAGGTCAATTGAGCTGGCGCACGCCTGCTCAATGATGCAGATTGGTTCACGTCAGACGAAGTGCTCAGTCACCAAGACTGGGCACACTGTCTGGTACGCGCCAGCTCAGTTTGTAGACATGGCGCAGGTACTTGGTATGTTGTTGACTGCACCGTTCGCCCCATCTTTGCAGGGGCGAGTGCCGGGTGCTACCCCTGGATGTCCGCACCGCGCTGGGCTGGACAGACTCGGGACTACGAGGAGAATCTGAAGATGCGCCCTTACCCCGTCTTCGAGCTCGCCCGTCTTCGCAAACGCACCATCCTGGTGTCCGCCAAAAAGGGGGTCGGGAAGTCGAAGGGTTTCATGGAGTGGCTGGTGGCCATAGTAGTCAGGAGAAACCCCGGCCTCTCCTTCGTCCTGATCGGGGCCAACATCTCGCTGTCCCGCAAGTACCATCAAGATCTGGTGGACGCGGGCGTTCAAGGCGTGGTGCTGTACCTGGAGGCGCCCCCAGGGCCAATCACTGCCTCTCGTGCCGTGGTCTGCATCAACTCCATTCACCGCGTGCGCGCCAAAATGGACGTCGTGGCGTTGGACGAGATGGACATGGTGCTCACCAACCTCAACTCTGAGGTCATGAGCCAACGGGGCCGGGTGCTGTCCTGCTTGGAGGCGGCTGTGGCGGGGGCGAAAGTCGTCATCGGCATGGACGCCAACATCGACTGCGCGCGAGTGATGGAGTACCTCTTCATGGCGCGGCCGGATGGGGTCCTCCACACCATCCGGAACAGGGGCCTGTACCCGGCCAAGCGGCAAGCGACCATCCGGATCTTTCCGCCAGGGAGCGGGCTGCTCGACTGCATCGGCGCCGCAGTACGGGATGTGCTGGACAGGGTCGCTCGAGGCACGAAAGTCGTCGTGAGTTCTTCTTAAGATCCTCCTAGCACTAACAAGCCTTAGCACAGCGCGCTCGATTTCATCCCTGTGCTCTTCTCAAGCACAATGAGAGAGCGTCTATGTCCAAGGTATAAGGCAAGCCATGCGTAGCATCTTCTCTGCATATTCACCTTGTGGCTTTGGGGATAGGTGTAGCATGGAGCAGCTCTTTCTGTGCACTCCACCAATGATGCATCGGAGCCTAGTGGAAACTGTCTTGCCAAACATTCATGACACGGTTTGTCTTCTGGGGCCGTTTTGGGGGGCAACTTTGGTGAAGGGCCAGTTCGGAGGATAGTTTTAGGGCCAGTTTTGATGAGCCTGAGAGTCGGTTTGGAGCCAGTTTCAAATTGAGTGTAGGCCAGTGCGAACGGGTCTCTGTAAGGAACGATCGCATCAGTCGCTTTTGCCTTAGGTCTTTACGTTCTAAAAAGCTGACGACCGTGCTCTCGACTCTTGTTGCGCAGTGCCCGTCGACCTCCAAGCGCTTCGTGAAACACCTCGAACACGATTTCAACGTCGAGAACCCACCCTCCGAGTCCGATCGACGCGGCGTTTTCCTGCACGCCGACAAGAGGTCGAAAGCCGACGAGGAGTTCTTCCAGAAGGCGATGGCCGACCCTGACACCTACTTGGAAGCGGAGTGTGTGGCTTTTTCTCCAAAGCTCGGCCCAGGTGTTTCGAAAGAGAAGCCGTACGCTGAGGAGACGGTCGCCTTCGCCCTCAACAACCTCAACGGCCCCGCCTTTGAGACGCTGCTCCAGCAGCATGCTCGCTTCCGGACGGTCACTAACTCCACCATCTACTACAAGCAGGCGGTGAGCACTGCAGTGGACCTGCCGCGCTCTACAGAGGCGGTCTTTCAAGCCATCGAGCGGGACGACAAGCAGATCGTCAAGATGCTCGGCGACGCGGCCGGCTTCCAGTTCCTGAGGGGTTCGCAGGGCATCTGCGACCGCTCCTCGGCGAGCTGCGTCTTGTACGCAAACAACATTCTGGCCAAGGTGGAAAGCTATCTGGAGTACGTGCCGAAGCTGAAGGCCGACCTCGAAAAGCAGGGCTACGAGGTGACGGTCGAGCACGTCGAGCCAACGTTGAGACTGCCGAGTAGTGAGGCGAAACCTGAAAAGCGCCCGGCATGGCTCGGTCGACAATCTGCACAGGTTGTTCTTTATAATCAAGTCTATTAGGTGGTGCACACAGATTGTCAAGCCCCTCAGGTGGCCCTTACAGTTGCAATGATCAACTAGTAGGCTTGAGTAGGGTTAAGCTAATGGACTGCTTTTGGGCCGCGGTCAGCATGATCTCGGGGCAAGGTCAGGCTGGTTTGGTGTTTGCTGTGGGCATTGGTTTTGGTCGGGTGTGGGCTTGGGTTTGGGGCACGGTCAAGCTGTTTTGGGGTGGGGCTTCAGGCTGATTTGTGGCCGCGGTGAGGCTGGTTCCGAAATTGCTGTGGGTCTGGTTCCGGGGCAGGTTTTGGGGCCGTTAACGAGCAGACTTGGGTGCGCAGTCAGGCTGATTTTGAAAGCGCGTTTAGGCTGGTTCGAGTCTGCCGTGGCCTGGATTTGGGACTACTTTTGGAGCCGCGATCAAGTTGGTCTTTGAGGCGCGGTCAGGCTGGTTCTGGTGCGGTGCGTAGTCTGGTTCCGGATTTGCTGAGCCTGGTTTGGCGGATGTTTTTGAGGTCCTTAGAACTTGCAGAGCATAACGTCTTTTGAGGAGTCGAGATTTAGGGCTCACCCCGCCACCGGACTGTGTTTGCTCCCGTGGAATGATCGGACGTCCCACCATTTCCTTTCCAGGACGGCGTCGGGAGCCCGCCCCCGGAGGTGCCCCTCGGCTTCGACGCGGAGCCGGAGCTCCTGACCGCCGAAGAGTGGCGAGCAAAGTACATCATCAGCTCGGAGCAGTACGAGATCCTGTGCGAAAGGCCTGAGAACCTGAGCCCAAAGGAGCAGCTCCAGGAGTTTCTGTTCGAGATGGTCACGAAGGAGTACAAGGTCGACCCCAGCCGGGTTGATCACGACTTCTACACCCGCTTTTGCGCTGACGAGGACGAGGCGAAGGCGACAAGAGAGGCCCACGCAAACTATCTCAGGTAGGCGCCTCATTTCCCAGCTGTGCCCCGTCTCTGAAGCAAGAATCGTAGCCCTCTTGCCGCCATCCACTTCTGTCCAAAGTGAACGATTAGTGAACTCCAAGTCTGCAGCATTTGTCCAGGGCCAAGGTTTCCGCTCATCATTCTTCTTCAGCGGCAATGACGTCGTACGTCCGAAGTCTCATTTTGCTACCCCTCTGACCCTTCTCGTGACTTGCAGGTTTCGTGAGCACCGCTTCGATGCCCTCGTCGCGGACCTGGACAGAGCACGTGGGCATGCCAACGAGGAGGGCGTGGTTCAGGAGTCCGTTCAGGAAATGCGCGACCCTGCCAGCCGTGTGCCGTTTGCGGTGCGCGTGCTTGCCTTTCTCGTTGAATGCAGGGAGGAGCAGCTGAATCATGAGGCGGAGCGGTGGGAGGTCTCGGATGAGCGCGTTCAGGCTGCCTATGCGGAGCACATCGGGCCCAGCAAGACCCGGTTGAAGACCATCTTCAACCTGTATTGCTTTGTGCAGCAGACCTCCAGACCCTCGCAGGCTGCCAATGGAAAGGTGAGGGAGAAGAAAGCTCGG